AAGAGAAATTGTGCTGAGTTTGTTGTGTGAGATGTCGATCCTTTGCTTGATCTTATCATTATGTATTTATAGCACCTTGGCAGCATGGTGGAGATTTGCGGCAGCATCCTGAAAGACCAACGGCAGCATAATATCTGCAACAAATTGATTAATTTGTTGGTGCTGCGATTATCCTCCTGAAAGCTCGCAACAAAAGAATGGTTTTGTTGCCGTTGTGGAAATAACCACTCAATCTCATCTGAAGAAATCCACACCAACTTCCAATTAATAAAATATCTGCCATCATGGGTGACATGTGGCAGCACTCCATTTGTTGTAAAATTAGGTGTAAACATTGCCCCCCAATTTTTGGCATTATAAGAGTAGGTGTCTAAAATTTAGGACCTTAGTGACAGTACTCAACTTCTTTGTGCCTTTGTCTCCTTTCGCTGTTTACATTTCTTCTCCGTTTTGGAATCGGAAACGTGGCCAACTGCAACTTCTGCGACGCAATTGCAATTCTTCACCACTTAGGACTCGGAAACATGATCAACTCCAATATAAAACACAACCACTCCTCCGATAACCATCATCATAGACTGGCGGCCATTTCTCTTTGTTTGTTTTTCTAGTTTTTGCATCGTCTCTGTCAAGCCATTCCAGCCATGGCCAACCAATTCTTGCCCAAGAGTTATAGCAAGGAGGAAGCCTTAAATGCTTTAAAGCCAAAAGAAGCAAATTACTAGTTGAGCTCAAGGAAGAAGGATGTGAAGCTTTGGCTGCAAAGAGTGAGGCTGCACAGCAGGAGGAGAAGGCAAAGGAAGCCAACAACACACTGCAGCAAATGAGAGATGAGTGGGCCACTTGGATACAAAACCTTTGCTAGGTTTTTTTTTTTTTTTAGTATCATTCATCCTTGTCACGGCCATTAAGCCGCTTGAACATTTGTTTCCAAACTTCTTTTATTTTTCTTCTTCCAATGATGAACATGAATTTATTTGCTTGCTTTATTCATCCTGCCCACAGCTTTACAAACAAAGCCGCTCTAAAACACAAATGTAAGAACATGCCATGCCTCCTTAGCAGCACCAAGTCTTATGTATGCTTCCATGGTTCAAGCCAAAACTCTACGTGTCCTTATTGCAAGAAAAACAACTTGAATCAAATAATATACAAATGTCTGCAAACCTGGATCATGCAGACGTGGAGGCAGAACTATCCTGTGCCTCCCACACAGTCGGATAATATGGTTTCAAGTAAATGCCATTGATCTTGCGCGGATGCAACTCCCCATTCAAAGATTTTAACCAATAAGCACCTCCTTTAAGAACTTTATGAATTTGGAATGGTCCTTTCCAATTAGGGGACCACTTACCATATCTGGGATCTTTCTTGCCAAGCGGCAACACAGCCTTCCAAACCAAGCTTCCTTCTGCTAAATTCTTTTGCTTGACCCTTTTGTTATAAGCTCGTGCCACTTTAAGCTTCTGGGCCTTCATCACATCCAATGCTGTCAGCCCTGCTTCCTCAAGGTCTTCCAACTCCATGATCATGGCTTCATTGTATTCCCCAGAATTCAAGCCATTTTGAATTGCAATCCGCAGAGACCTTGCCGTTAATTCCATAGGCAAAACAGCATCATGACCATAAGTAAGCGAGAATGGGGTCACCTTAGTTGAACTCCGTTGTGAGGTTCTGTATGCCCAGAGAGTATCTGAAAAAAGCTCATGCCATCTCCTGGGATTATCATCAACCATTTTCTCCAGGATGTTGATGACAATCTTATTAGATGCCTCTGCTTGACCATTTGCTTGTGCATAATGCGGAGTTGAATTAAGCAAATGAAATCCCATGTCTTTTGCAAAGGCCTCTACTTGAGATCCAACAAAAACAGTACCTTGATCTGAAGTGATAGTTTCTGGAAGACCAAACCTGTGTATCAGATCCTCTTTTATGAACTTGATGACATCTCCTTGCTCAACCTTCTTCATAGGCCTTGCCTCCACCCACTCAGTAAAGTAATCTGTAGCAACTATTATGAAAGAACGACCTTTAGAAGAAGGTGGATAAATTTTCCCAATCAAATCAATTGCCCAGCCACGAAAAGGCCATGGCTTGACAATAGGATGTAACTCAGAAGCTGGTGCTCATTGCAAAGGACCATGCAACTGACAAGCTCTGCAGCCCTTCGCATAATTGATGCAATCCTTAAGAATAGATGGCCAAAAGAAACCATGCCTTCGAATTATCCATCTCATCTTAATCCCTGCCTGATGAGCACCGCAAATACCATTATGAACATCTGACATCACATGGCAACTTTCATCAAGACCGAGGCAGCGCAACAATAATTCATCCTGCCCCCTACGATACAAAACATCCCCGAGTAGCACATAGTTTAAAGCTTGCATCCTCGTTCTCCTTGATGTTTTAGAACTGGGATTCCTCAAATGTTCTATTATTGGATGCCTCCAGCCTGTAGGTGTGACATCTAGTGAGCATGCTTCCACCGTTATTCCTCTTTGATGAATTGAAGGCAGCATACGTTTTTCAATGACGATGACCTTCTCCAAGATGCCTTCAGGCATTTTTACACTTGAAGCAATCTGTGCAAGTTCATTTGCTTCAACATTCATGTTGCGAGGAATATGCTTCAGGGAGACATCATCAAATTCCTCCAGTAGTTGGATGGCAGTGGCAAAATATGGAGACAAAACCACGCTTGTACACTTGTATTCGCCACTTAATTGCTTGAGAACTAATTGAGAATCACCCACAATTTCAACCGATGGCACCTTCAACTCTACCAACAACTCAAGGCCAATTACCAAAGCTTCATATTCTGCTTGGTTATTGGTACATTCAAAATCTAACTGAAAACACCATTGGGTTTTTATGCCATCTGGAGAAACAATAATAATTCCAGCCCCGAAGATTTGATCAGTGCTAGACCCATCAAAAATAAGCCTCCAAGGAACCAAGTCAATGGAAAAGAGATTGATTCCCTTATCTTCATCAGCGTTAACATCTAAGCAAGGATGATCTGCTAAAAAGTCTGCTAAAGCCTGTCCTTTGACGGCCTTTTAAGGCAAATATCTCAGATTAAATTCAGTAAGTGCAAGAATCCACTTACCAATGCGGCCTCTTAAGAGTGGCCGCGACAGCATGTATTTTATGACATCAGTTTTTGAAATAACAAACACCTTCGAATACAATAAATAATGCCTCAATTTTATTGCTGCAAAGAACAAAGCCAAACATAATTTCTCAACCGAAGAATATTTCACTTCGGTCGGATTCAAAGCTCTACTCAAATAATAAACAGCTTGTTCTTGTTTATTATTATTCTCTTGCGCCAGCAGACAGCCAATTGACTCATTTGCGGTGGATATATACAGCAATAAGGGTTTATTCTTAACTGGAGGAACCAACACAGGTGGCTTGGACAAGTATTCCTTGATGGCATCAAAGGCGGCTTGGTGCTGCCTCTCCCATTTAAAATCTGCATCAGGCTGCAACTTCAAAAGAGGTGAAAAAACACGAGTTTTGCCCGCCAAATTAGAAATAAACCTCCTTAGGAAATTAACCTGACCAAGAAACCTTTGTAATTCCTTTTTATTTTGTGGTGGCCGTGCTTCAATTACGGCCCTTGCTTTGTTTTTGTCCATCTCTAGGCCTCGTTCATGGACCAGAAAACCCAAAAAATTCCCTGCTGTAACACCAAAAGCACACTTGAGAGGATTCATCTTCAAACCATGCTGTCGCATTCTTTCAAAAGCTTTCCTCAAGTGCTCCAAATGTTCTTCATCCTCCATGGATTTAACAACAACATCATCGATATAAATCTCCATGAAGCGGCCAATCATATCATGGAAAATTGCATTCATGGCCTGCTGATATGTAGCTCCTGCATTTTTCAACCCAAACGGCATCACGACCCATTCATACGTACCTATGTTTCCAGGGCAACGAAACGCCGTTTTACTTATGTCTTCTTCTGCAATAAAGATCTGATTATAGCCACTATGCCCATCCATAAAAGATAAAATGCGATGGCGTGCAACCCCATCAACAAGTAAATCTGCTACTGGCATAGGGTATTCATCCTTTGGTGTGGCTAGATTTAAGTTTCGAAAATCAATGCAAACTCTGAGCTTTCCATTCTTCTTCACTATTGGAACCATATTAGACAACCATTTTGAGTATCTGGCTGTCCGTATAAAACCAACTTTATGCAGCCGCTCCACTTCTTCCTTCACCTTCAAAATCACTTCTGGAGACATACGGTGTGGCGGCTGTTTGTACGGCTTATATCCTTTGTTGATTGGTAGTCTATGTTCTACCAACTCTCGGTCTAAACCTGGCATCTCAGAATAATCCCAGGCAAAGCAGTCTTTGAATTCATGTAGTAAACAAATTATTTTATCTCACATCTCTAGCGGTAGCAAGCCACTGACAAAAGCAATGCGTGGCTCTGCCTCCGTTCCCAGATTAACTTCCTTCAATGGATCTTGTACATCGGCCCTGAGGTCATCTAGCTTTGCAGGGGCCAGATCTAACTCCTTCATTGTGACTCCGTCGGTATGGGTGTCCTTCTCACCTTCATGTACCACCTCCGACAGATTTGCTTCTGTATTTCTTTCAGCAAAATAGGTCGCTAATTTCTTTAGAATTTCAGATACGGCCTCCTTTCTTTCTTTGTTTATCCTGGATTTCTTCATAATAACTCCTCAATTTTGGGCTTCTCTTGCGCCCTATATGGAATAATGGCAGTAGGCCGCAAGAGTTTATTGCATACCTCGTCAACCACATACTTAGCCAAGGTAGGCTTGTTGCAAGCAGTGATTCCACGAGGTCTTCCTTGTCTATCCATGCCGAAGAAATGGATGGTTCCTACGTCTTCATCATAGTACCGTGCTTCCACCATATTGGAATTGGCTAAGAATGGTCTGTTGTCAGCATAGACCACCTCAGTTTTGCCTCCATTCCAAAAAATGAGTCTTTGATGGAGCGAAGATGGAACACACCAATTCGAATGGATCCAATCACGTCCCAGTAATGCATTATAAGTTACAGAAGAGTCTACAACAAAGAAAGCACTCATTGACGTCTTGCTGCCGACAGTAAGTGCAACCGGCAGCACTTCTTTTGATTTGCTAACACCACTTGTGAAATCACTGATGGTTACGTCAGTATAAACCAAGTCCTCATAATTTTTACCCAAATTCCTCAGCATAAAAGAAGGTATGACGTTGACTGTTGCTTCATTGTCAACCATGACTCGATTCACTGGAACTCCATCCATGTGAGCTGAACTGTAGAGTGGCTTTATATGTCGAGCCACATTTTCATCTGGTTTGTTAAAGATAATTTGTTCCGAGAGGATATCATGCTCCTCTTCCTCTTCTTGGGCTGGAACCTCTATCATTTCTTCTTCGACAAACATGCTGCCATTGGAAACATGGGTAGGAACATGGGTAGTCTCGCTACCCTTGGCTTGAAAAACCAAAGGAAGCGTGAGAACCAGACAAGAGAGATTAATAGAGATGCTGCCAATCTGCAGAACATCCATGTCCTCAAGAAGATTATCATCGCTAGTCAACTCTGCTTGTTGATCTGCTTCAAAAGTTGCCTTCAACTCATTTTCATTGACGATCAGTGATGTAAGCTTATGAGGTGGCACTTTCGGCTGAGATTCATTCTGGGCAGCAACCTCTTGACTTTCTTTCCTTTTCCACACCATCTTTCCCTTTGCGAGAGAACATTGTGGAACCTTAACTTCCTCAGTAGCTAATTGTTGATGACGACGTGCCTCTGCTCGCTTTCGCTGCAACCTTCTTCTTAAAGTTCTAGGATTTCTCACAGGTTCTTTTGGAAACTTGGGATGCACGACCTTCTCCCATCTTTTACTTGGAGGTCGCTGTGGAGGCTTAACCATATGAGAGTGATCTGTATGTCGAGCCTCCTTCA